TGAAGGTAGCCCAATTTATCAACCCTCCCCTCCTCTTCTCAAAACATTTGCAACTATTTTGGGTCACACGTTGCCATGGGGTTCCTGAAGCAGTCACTGAGGCTGCTTCTGGCGGTGATGTGTGTTTGGTGTATGTGGCGGTTGCTTTCCACTGTGCTGGTGGTTAGCCTTGGCTGGCCTCAGCCTGGCAGTGGCCGTGGATCAGTTGGGAGTGATGTAATAACTTCACTTATAGGCAGCCATCAGAGCCAGCTCTGTGCACCACCACACATTTCTCACATGCTCTCACTGCCCCCACCCCTGTTCCAATGAACCCTCTCACACTCGCTTCTCCGCTATTATCCATAGGCTACAGAGAGCACAAACACACACACATATGCACACACACACACACACACACACACATATACACATGCTGGCCTCTGTTTGTTTTGTATCCTTGACTGCAAGTGCACAGGGTAGTCTGGAGCTGTAAGCCTGTAGAGGCTGGACTCAAACAGCAGATTTCACGAGAGAGAAGCAGTGCAAATAAGAAACAATGACAGAGGTAATATTTGCAAGAGTTAGATTGTGAGATTAGTATTTGGATATTTAACAGTTTACATATTTATTTATGTATTGTGATTCCTTTTCTCTATTTTAACAGAATATCTTTGGATTTGAGGGATTTTGTGCAAAAATTAGCTTATTCAGCAAATTAATTGATAATGGCAAACATTATCACGAGCTGCAGCCTTGCTCTCATGTAAAATCCTGTCACTACAGAAGGAAAAATAAATATTTTTGCATGCTTAATATTTTTTTTGTCATATTCAGAGTTTTTTCCCTTGTGAGTCAGTCAAAAATACATGAATTATCCTGATGTGGAACAACATGGTTAGCACAGCTCCGCGTTCAGAACTTAGACAGTGATTCAGTTCCTTCCTGTTCAGAGAGGACATGCCTGGTCGAACAGTTAGTCAGCCACCGCTGCTGACAGCATACGTCATAAGTACCCGGGTCTCCTATCGTCTTCTCGGGGCAGTTTACAGCACTTTGCGTGCGTTTGTGTGATGGTGACAGGACACATTGTGTTGTTTTACCAGGTTATTTACATAAATAGGTGTTATTCATCTGTCTTATCTCTAGAATCTCCTTTAGGGAGAAAACTACTAGAAATGACTCAGCTGCCTCATAGTTACTGTCCTTTTCTCAAAAAACATAAAAAATAAAATCACCCACACAAGTATTCATAAAGTTGTTAGAACATAAAGGAATATATATTTTTGCCTGATAGGAATTTCATGTTGGATATACTGACTTTGCAGTCATTTTAGTGCTTTCAGACACTACGTGATCCAATGTGCAGTCTGCACCATGCAAGAGTACTTCTTATATTGTTGTTGCTGTTTGCTCCGTGGGCGCAGTTTTTTTGTAGGTGGAATTTTTCTTATCAGTCGGCATTATTTAGTTTCTTTTTAAGTGGAGGGACCGGACCACACAGCAGAGAAGAGAAACATGTCATTCACACTTCGCTCATGTGGCTAATTTGGAAGTGTCCGCTGAAACTTAATGCAACTAAGTGGCAGATGATGGACCAGGGGTAAACATAAGTGGATAACGAGAGAGCTGTTGGAGCAAATGAGCTCTGATTGAAATGAAGAATACTTTAAATTCAGGTCAGTTTTGTTTACATAGCGCCTAATCACAACAACAGCTGTCTTAAGGCGCTTTAGATTATAAAGTAAAGACCCTTGACGTCCTATGGGCAAGCAACAGTGGGAATAAAAAAAAAAAACCCTCCCTTTTAGCAGGAAGAAACATCTAGCACAGGGGTGTCAAACTCAAATACACAGTGGGCCAAAGTTCAAAACTGGAATATATTCCAGTTTAATATTTATTAAAAAATATTTTTTGACACCTATGCTCTAGCAGAACCAGCCTCCAGGAGCGGCAGCCATCTTTTCAGACCAGCTAGGGCATAGGTGTCAAACTCTGGCCCGCCTAATTACATTTGGCCCGCGAAGCCATACCAAATTACTATTAGAGCTGGCCTACTGGTATTATACAGCTAATATATATATTGTTCAGTATTAAGCTTTGCTTGTTCCATATTCAGTTTTTCAGCAAAATGTGTTTGAGTCCATAAAAAAAGATTCATTCTTATATCTGGAGGAATAAATATATTTCAATAAATATTAATGTTAGCCTGCGACTTTGTTCCAGTTTTGAATTTTGGCCCACTGTGTATTTGAGTTTGACACCCCTGAGCTAGGGTAAAGAGATGGAAGAAAATAGTCAAGTTGAGAGAAAATAAAAAAAATATGAGATAAAACACACTTTTAATACATTCTTAACTCTGATATTTGGTTGATACAGACTGTGTCATCTGTTTTCACCATTAGCTTTTCGTGGCTAACATTAGCTGAAATTAGCTAAAATTAGCTAGCTGCGTGTTTAGCGTCAATGAGCCCAGTTTGTGATTGAATATCTTGTCTACTTGGTTTGCATTTTAATAATATCCCACTACTGTTACCTTGTTTCATTTTAAAGGGCTGGTTGGTTGATACATCTTCCCTGTTCTCTCCCACTTGTCCAGGAGTCAGCAGGCGAGCTTCGTGCCGTTGGGGGTTGTGTAGGTTTTATTCTCTGTGAGCAACTACCTATGCAAACAGATGCAATTGCAGCACCACAAAACCAGCATTAGTCAGTACAGTTGGTCTGTCACGCTTCATAACTGACACCACAAGCCATAGGAGAAATAAATAGGCCCCTTTATCTTGGGAAAGATAGCATGTCATTAAAGGTGCCATTAGTATGAGTGGCTGTTGCTTTGTACTCCTGTAATATGAACCATGATTTCAGTTTCTTTATCCGTGTCAATAGAAAACTCTGTCTCTAATAACTTTATTCAGTCGTGAGGAGGTGGGTTTTAACCCCACTGTGATCTTTGACCTCTAACTGTCTTACTTAGAAATACATAAAGAAAATTTACCATACAGTAAGGTATACCAATTTGAATAAGAGTTACACAGGGCTCGGTATGAGAGGGAAAAAAGAAAGGTAGTCTGACAGTGACGTGTAAACTGATGTTTATGCATGAGTGCATCCTGACCTCTGAGTGAACCTGGTGTACTGGCCTACTGTCTGAGAACAGCTGCCCACAAGAGCAGTACAGTAGGAGCAAGATCAAATGCCATCCCAGACCCCATCTGCTCCCTGTGTTACTATGACTCTAGCTTTCATTCCCTGTGGTCCTTTACGCACACATATAGACATCTATTCTATTAAAGAATGCGGTTTTTCCTGCAGGTGCTGTTTGTATTGCACTGCACACACCCAGCACAGGTGTGTGTGTGCCTGCGTGTGCATTTTTTAAAAATTATTATCATGACTAGACCTTGGATATATCTGAGAGACAGGAAGAAGCTGAGGTCAGCGACCTCTTCCTTATACTGTAATCACCCAACTCGGATTCCATTAAAGACTTTTGATATGTTAAAGATGACAGAATGCCCTTTTTTGTGAGCATGTCAAAAAAGGTGAAGTCAGGAGTAGAAAACTGAGAATTGTTGGCTTTAATACCTTAAAGGTTATTTTAATGACACAAACGGATGTGGCACTTTAGTCCCAAAATATTTCATATTGAAACGTTTTTGACTTTCTCTTTTACCGCGCAGTCGCTTTTTTTTATAACATTTGTAACTGAAGAAAGGCAGCCTTTATCTGAATTATGCTCCTGAAATATCTCCACTGATATATATGTATTAGACTGCTTAATAAACAAGCTGCAGGTGACCACGTCGCCCTTTTTGACAGGCGTGCATGAAGCCCATACACGTGTTCCATTATTAAAACAACTTTGTCTCTTTTGTGGCTTTTCTATGCTTAAGTATAGCATTTAAGAGTGGCCTGCATTGTTATGTTTACCCATATCATCAAAGCGAAAGACTTGAGTCACACTTATCTCAGAGAAATATTAGGCAATATTGCTTTTTTTTGTTTGTTTGTTTGTTTGTTTTATAGAGAGATAATTTTACCCTTATTAGGTATGTACCGAACATAAACTAGATTCTTCTCCATTAATGGAAACTCACACATGAAAACAGGAAGAGGCATGCCAGATGTTGCCTCACTGGCTCTTCTGAACCGGCACAAACTAATAACTAAGGTCATGCTAAATGTCAAAGACCACTCGTGTGTGGCCAGTAAAGTCACCAATAAAGTGAGGTCATTTGAAACAGATAAGGTATTTCTGCTTTACTTCCTACATTTAAGCGCAGCGTGTAGCTGACACATTTCTTCTTTCTTCCTTAGACGACGAGGAGGCACTTAACTCCATCATGAAGGACTTAGCAGCCTTGGGCCGTTGTTACACCCAGCACAACAGCCACAAGCCCAAGAACCGAACCTTACTCTACAAACAGGTACTCATCGCATCCACATGTGCTGTTTCTCCTTTTATACATTCAAAATTGTTGAAGTGCTGATTTGAATCTATAAGAAATTTTAAAATTGGCTGTAAAATGTGTCTAAATATCATTTTTTTTGTTTTTATTTCGATTGCTCTGTTGCCTATGTAGTATGGGAATCAGTTTGCTTCGCCACATTTCAGTTAAAGAGCTGAGAGGATGTATAATGCTGCAGTATTTCTTTGGTTTAAAGCTGCCACACATCTTGCTTAGTTACACTTCTTTAACTCTGTTTTTACTCAATACCTCAGCCCTGCTTTCCTTTTTTTATTTTATTCACTGGAGTTTGAAGGTTGTGATCTAGTTTTGGAGATGATGAAACAAAAAAGCAGCATATTCACCGCCACAGCGGGTGCAAAAGTCTCGAGCCACTCCTCATTTCTTCATAATTTGCTTCCAAGGAGCCAGTCTTTGGATATCAGCTGCTTTAAAAAAAACAAAAAAAAACAAAACAACTCCTTTTCAGTCCAGTGCATGACACTTTTCAGAGGATTGTTGTTTGTTTGTTCAGTTATTAAACGCTGACCTATGAGTCATTCAAGCATAAAAAAAACTTTGCCTAAGTCGAGGGATGACATCTTAGCGAAGGACTAATTTTAAATTGTGTCTTTAAGCGTTTGTTATTTACAGCCTGCCACACAAACACATTATTTGTTCACATTTCTTTAGTTGAATCTATGAAAAATGTCAAAGATGATGCAGTTTGGCAGACATAAAATAATATGATCTCTGCATGGTGTGCAGCCTGTCCTTATAATAAATAGTCTTCTCAGAACTGATGGAACATATGAAGGCAGAAGAGTAACGTCAGATCCCTTTGCAGTTGCATCAGAAAGGGCATCAAGCATAAAAACTGTCAAATCAAACATGCAAAGCTGCCTGTGGCGAACCCCTGTGAATAAGTGAGCAGCTAAAAGTAGCTTCTAGATTTTGATACTCTGTGCAGTGTTATCTGGAAAGCATCTGATTCTCAACAGCCAGGGAAGTGCCTAGAGGGGGACCCGGGGAGGCCTGAGCACTGCTAATCTTACACTACCCAACACTTTTACTCTTTAATTCCATTAATTTCACTGTTAATTTTTCACAGTTTTTATTATTTTTTTTACTCTGATTTCTTCTGGCTCCTCCCTTCTTTGTTCTTAGTCAAAAGCATACCTGGATAGAAAAACACACAACAAATAAGAGTCATGGATTGGCCTCCCCAGAGCCTATACGTCAACATTATTGAAGCACTGTGGTATGATATTGAGAGAGGCAGCAAACATCCAAACAAGAGATTTAAATGTCCTTCAAGAGGCCTGGAGAACTATTCCTGAAAACTACTTCGAGAAATTATATCAAAACTTGACTAAGAGAGTTCAGGCTGTGTTGAAGAATAAAGGAGGTCGTACCAAATATTGACTTTTAAGCCCATTAGAAATGTATAAACTCTTATTTTTGCCTCGTATAATATATTTCCATATATGCTGACATGTGAATAATTAAACTGCTGGACTTAATCACGTTTTCCTAGCAGAACAAAGAGAAAAGAGGTTTGGCTCAAGACTTGTGCACAGCATTGTCTTTCAAGCGTCTTACAGACACGTCCGTCAGAATGACAAAATCCTTTCTTGATGCTTGGTGGGCTTTTTTATTTTTATTTTTAATAGTTAAATCAAGTTGTATCATGCAAGAGGATGTAATCTTGACAAAAGCAGTATTTGCTCGAGTACTTGCAAAAATATTCCGTATTGGAGTATTCCATTCCAATAGTTTCCGGTATTGTGTACATTTATGGCAGTTTAGAAACTAAACCAACACATTTTGGACAGCTTATCGTTCCCTTCAGTCACCTTGTGCCTCTCTGAAGTCGTTTCCTCGTGTATCTTTGCGTGTCTGTGGAATGATAATTGGCGAATCCTCTTACAGCAGCAATGTTTATGATGAGACATAAACAAACAGCAAGGAGCAGAGAGGGTTTCCGGCCGTCACGGTGCTGCTTTCCTCTGCAAGTTGTTGGGGGTAAACCCTTACGTTTTTTCTTCCGCACCGATGTGATGACAGCGTTAGTGTAACTCCGTTACCTCATGCAGACATGCAGGCTCCTCCAGATTCCTGCTCCCATTGGCAATGACTACGAATAGAAAACAAAGATTTGTCGGGCCATCGTCAGTGTTGAAGGATAATGTTGTCTTTGTGCTGTAGAACAAAATCCGCAGCAAATCCAGCAACGTGGATATAAAACATGTATCATCATAATGCTTTTTGTCACCTCAATTCCTGGTCCAGCTTATCGTTTTCATTTATTAGGCAGGCCAAATCCCACAGACATCTATGAATCATTTTAACTTTCCACTTCCATAACTCCCCTCTGTTGTTATTTTTCCTCTCAACAGGATTTAAGAGTCAAGCTGGAGCATGAGAGAGAAAAACGGTATGTTTGAACCTCTGTATTGTTTTTTCTGCTCTTCTGTCCAAGCCTTTACTCTGTGCTTCGGATCTTTTTTGTGTGTTATGCTTTGCCATGCCTGGGACTTTGTGTCTAGAGGAAATCACAGTTACATGCCAGAGGAGCATAAAGAGAGGGAAAAATTTCTACTTTGACATTTAGCCGAGGCCTTATGTTTCAGGCTCGGATGGGCTGTTTAAGAGGGAGGAGAGGGGAAAAAAGAGAAGAGGGTCAGAGAGAGAGGGACATCAAAAAGATGCAGCGAGAGCCAAACGTTTGAGTACAATGCGCAGACTTCCAGGCACACCCCAAATCCCCAAATTAATGCTTCATCTTGTGCGTTTTTCTCCTGCTTTCCCTCCACATTTTTCAGTCGCGAGACATTTGTACTCGATCACACGGCCAGCTTTTGACTTACTCAAGAGGCAGAGCTGGTTACTCAAACTGTTTGGAGACAGTCTAGCAAGCAGTTTTTTGGTTTTTTGTCTCATAGTTTGTTTACCCAATGGGATGTTTAAAAAAGAAAGAGAGAATTTCTGACACTTCATTTGGTGTTGGTCTTCATTTTGTCCACGCTGGGATCCCAGCTCTGTCATTCCACGCACGGATGCTAAGTTGGGTCTCGCAGCTCTGGAGCAGGTTCCACTGGTTCCACTGGCAGACTCTGACACTAAAACAGGGGTCCCCAATCCCAGTCCACGAGGGCCTGTGTCCCTGCAGGTTTTAGATGTGTCCTTGATCCATCACAGCTGATTTAAATGGATAAATTACCGTCTCAACTGTCTTGAAGTTCTCCAGAAGCCTGGTAATGAACTAATCATGTGATTCAGGTGTGTTGACCCAGGGTGAGATCTAAAACCTGCAGGGACACCGGCCCTCGTGGACTGGGATTGGGGACCCCTGCTCTAAAACTTTGCTCAGGAGCCAGCAGAGACTGAACTGAAGTGACAAACACAATATGTTCTGTTAACACTGGAAACATTGGAGGGAAACTGACCAGAACCTACCGCAATAATTGCCTCGATTCATCAGAATATAGACGAGGGGAATGGGCATCGGTTCAGCGATACTGTGATAAGAAGGCTACAGGCTCAGAGGAGTGGGAAAGAGAAGGAAAGCGGCGTGCTCGGCCAGCAGAGCGCTGCTTCACACTGGGCCTTTTCACTTTTTCACAGCCTTAATTGGCTACTGCTGAGGAAGAGACGAGTTTTTCATGTTCCTGTCTCTCTGTGTTTCTGCGCCCCCCCACCCCGCCCCGTCTCGCAGTCTTCCCTTGCTCACGATCTCCCTTCACTCCACACTGCTCAGAAAAGACAGCCAACAGCTCACTTTAGAAGATGCCATTCATAGACTTGAAAGGAAAATCTCTTTTTTATTTAATGATTTTTTTTCTTTCATCCGCTTTGTCGATTCACACCCTCGTCGACCTCTCTCCACGTTACGCTTTCCAGAGCAGAAAAGGATCGAAATCACATTAAAACCTGTGTAACTTAAATATTTATTTAACGCAGCTTTAATCAATATTTCTGTATATTAACAGGGGATCGAGTAACTCGAGGTATGCGACAGTGAAAAGGGTCACTCAGAGAGACAAACCCTCTGAGAATTATTAACAGGCTACAGTCAACACCAGCTCTGCAGAGCATTGCAGGATCTTTCAGCTTACTGTTTTGGTTTTCCACATCAGGTGGTCTAGAAAGTATGACTCGATGAAAGCTAATGTTGTGTTTATGACTAATAGCTGTGGGTTTTTTATTTAAGTAAAATAAAAAAGCAGTTTTGTGATTGTGATCTAATTATTTAAAGCAGGGATGTCAAAGTCATTTTACATTGTGATTCATGTACATCCTACTTTGATTTTAAGAGGGCGGGATCAATGAAACAAAGTAATAAATGTGTGATAAAACTGTCTCTGGAGTCACTGTAGAAAAAAAAAAATATAAAAATTGTAAATAATTTTTTTTCATTTAATTGCTACCTAATTATTGTGGTGTAATATGAATTGCAGTAGGAGATTTTTATTATAAGAGAAGGTGTAAAACTGTTAAAACTGTTAAAAGTTCTTATATTCCAGAAGGCCGGATTGAAGTCTCTTTTTGGAACGATTGTGGCCCTCGGGCCTCATGTTGAATACCCCTGGTTTAGAGTTAGCAAAAACTTTTTTCCTCAGTTTAAGCCTCTAAACGGGGCTTAAACTGCAAATACTCTCAGCTAAGTAAGAAAGCAAAGCCTAATAAAAAATATAACTCTCATAAAAAATTCAGTGAAGGGAAACTGAACTGCATTTCTTTGATCTTGGTCTAAAATCTCTTTCAGCACAGACCCTACGAGCCGGTTTATGTAGACAGATTACAAGAAGAATGAAAATAATCTGAACTTCCTTTCATACTCGAGCAGCTACTATCAAGACGATCTGACTGCACAGATATAATCCCAGGCTGTGCGGTGAATAGCATTATATTTGAGGGTCCTCTATCTAACTCGAGGTATCAGGAGTCCCTGAGTCAGGATGATCGTGTTGTCCGTCCACAGTGGAATCGGATCCGATGGTCTCTCTCTCTTTTCATTGGCAAGCACTGAAGGTTTGGGGCAGGAAATAAGAGCTGTAGAGCGACTCGCTCTTCCTCCTACCTCAAGGTCTACAGCCAGAGAGAGAGTGAGCGGGAACAGAGCCAAACCTTTTTTTTTCCTCTTAGTGTTTATATTATTGTGATTTTTTTTTTTTTTCTTTTCCACGAGACAAAAGGGAAAGAGAGTGCGCTGGGACGTGTGAAAGCATTCTTCCAACTCTGCAAACCTCTGCGACTGAGTGTGTCCGCATGCAGAGGAAGGAAAGCCATATCTTTTGGAGCCGCATCCTTGTACAAGCCCCCCAAACCCCCTTCCCCACATCCCTCCAGCTCTTTATCGCACACATCATCACCAAATCTAAACAGAGACGAGGAGTGTTTAGCTGTGCCGCCGCTTGCCTCTGATCTGCAGCCTCCCCCCTTTTCCCAGAATCCATCCAAATGAGGGAACCAATGAGCGGTCATTAAGATAGGCAAAGCTTTGGCCTCTGATGAGGAAGTGATGGGATAAAAACAAGTCCCTTTTATCAGGATACTATAAAGAGATAGTAGCGCTGCAGATTCTTCAGAAGCAGAGAGTGAGGTGGGGGTGGGTGGTGGTGTTGGGGGGGAGGACAGGACAGGAGTCTCTCTGCTTCTCTCTCTGCTTTATTTTCTCAGGCTGCCTCCCCCTTTATTTTTCTCTCACAGTCGTCTGTAAATATCTCCATGTCTCTGTATCTTTCACTCTGTCACTCTTTAAAAGACGAGGGAAAGACACACATCCTGCTGCTTTTGCTGCCGCTCCAGATTTTTCCCCCCCTTTCCTCTCAGGAAGTTTCCCATCTGCCTTTGTGCTGGCTTAGCGGAGAGGCCCGATGGTGTTGAAACAGTGGCCGATGCACACACTGATTGGGAAGCACACTCATGCATGTAAAGTTTTACAAACACACATGCGTCTCATATATACACTCACAACAAGACTTTTGCTGATAAGGTCGGTCTCGGACGGGAATACACGTAAGCATACAGTAGATAAGCACAGACATGCAAGTGGAGAGTATGTCTGCACTTTCTGTTTTCACTGCACTGATTAATGCCCTCTTAGCATCTCGGTGGTTCGGCTCACTCCTCTCCTCGACCCTGCTGACCCCCCGTCCGTTTATCTTCTGTTTCCCGCTGCTGTAAAGTAAATGAAAACTGGTTTTTAGACATTTATCAGGTGCAAGCTAATGCTACAAAGCATTAGCCAGCAGGCTGTCAGCTCAGCTGCAGCCAGACACAACATGACCGTCTTTCTCCCACCTCTGACCCGGCTGGCCTTCTCCTTTTTCCAGAATCATCCTGTTTCAGAGGCCGCTGAAGATCAAAGAGCTGCTGCAGAAAGTGACCGAGGCCTTTGGCCAGCAGATGGACATGTTCTTCATGGAGAAAGAGGTAAGTGAATGACTCGTGTAGCTGGCGTGTTACAGTTTTATCTGTTGTTTTTTGTGACGATCCTGCAGTATGCACTGCAGTACGCGTGTCCTCGAAGCGGCGTTACGTTTGTTTTCTCAAGCTGTCAAGATCCAAGAAAAGCTTTGTTTATTTACATGTTTTTTGTTTTTTATTGTGAAGCCCTTGATGTCATACATGTGCTGCTGCATTCACGTGCTCTTGTTGCTGAACAATAGAGAATTGAAGCTCATGTGCTGTGTGCTTTCTTGTCCTATCAGCTGCTGCTGCCCCTGAAGACGCAGGAGGACCTGGATCAGGCTGTGCTGACGCTGGGCTGCAGTTCGGGGACCAATGGGCTGCTCAGGATACTGCTAAAGACTCCTAAAAACAACCATGTGAGTTTTTAAGATGCTTACTTTTGAGCAGTTAGTGGGAACAAAGGTGAATGAAGTCATCCTTTTAGGTTTTGTTTTTTTTTTTCTTTTCTTTTTTTTGCAAAATGAGGAAACAAACCGCTTCCACACACGGTGATGTAACTGAACAATGAGGTAATGCTGTCCTCCCTTCCTCTGCTGAGCCTATTCCCTTTTTTCACTCTCTCCTACTTCCTGTGTTTCCAGTACCTACAGGTGAACAGCAGGGACAAACAGAGCGAGATGAAGTCATCGAGGTCACTGGGAGATTTGAAGGGCTCCTTGCTAAAGGGCTCAGAGAGGGTGCGCAAACACTCAACAGGTGAGCTTCCACGTTTTAAAAAAAAAAAGTGTTTTTATGTTGTTTTTATTAGTTTTTAAATGTGAGAGGAGGCAGAAAAGCACTCTGCTGATGCAAAAGTTTCTCAGTCATGTGCTAAAGCCTCGAGGATGACTTATCAGTGTCACCTGACGAAGCAGACGGCCGTCAAAGTCGCAGGAATGTTAATGGAAAAGATGGGGCGCATGCTTTATCGGAGTAGAAAATGCAAACCGGAGGTGAAAGCAGCCAAGGACTTGTCATGTCAAAGCAAGGACAAACTCCTGCACTCATGCTAAGCAACTGTCTGGCCGCTTTGGCCTGTTAGCTTTTTGTCATGTTAACTGTGACCATACTTAGATGTAATGTATAAATATATAGTAGCATTAGTAGTATTAGTATTCAAAGCGCATGCATGAGAGCAGTTTCTGTCTTCTCATCTAAAACTGTACACACAAAAAAAAATCTTTTCGTGTCACGTCACACTAGTCCCCCTCTCCTCGTCCCCAGGCATGTTTGGTTTATTTTAATATCAGCTCTGTCCAGAAAGGTCAGCGTCTCGGTCGTATCTCGGCCTCAGACACGCTCAGAATCAAACCGGTGCTCGCTCCTGCCATCACGTTTGCATCTTTGCAAAGCAGCTGAGAACCCTTTGTGATCGCTCTTGTGAGCCTATCTTCGTCATGTGGCCGCAAGCGCATAAATCGTCCAGAATTATCGGCCCTCGATCAGTTTTTCTCCCTGCCAGCGAGGCACGAGTGCGAGACGAGGCGAGCGGGCCGAGATAGGAGCGCGGGGAGTAGCGGCAGATGAGAGGTGACGGGAGAACGGTCACGGTGTACGGCTGAGTGAAGACGAGATGTGAACCCGGGTACCTCGATGACGTACGGGAGCAGACTGTGGCGTCACGGGGAAAGAGGCAGAAAAGCTGAACAGTCGAGACAAAGCGGTTGTAATTTGCAGCCTTCAGTCAAACAACAAGACTTTGATCGTATTTCCAACGCTTCTATTCGTCTTAGTGCCTTTTAGCCTCTCTGCGCTGTTTCAGTATTCCTGTCAGCCCAGTCTGCGATAGTTTCAGTAGATCTTTTTACCGTGACAAGGACGAGCGCTCAGTCTCCGCCGCAGCTCAGCCAGGAGAGCATTCGTCACAGTAATTGAGGTTAGAGGTGGCGGCAGTGTAGTTTAGTAAATCATTTCTTGCAGTCCTGGCACTGCTGAACTCGTACCCATGAATAACACTGTGACGCCGTTTTCTCCCCTCTGTCCCTCGTTCCCATCTCTTCATCTTCCCGCACCCCCTCCACTTCTCTCGCTCTCATTTACCTCCCCCCTTCCACCTTTTGCATTACTCATCTGCTCAACTTTAATTGTTTCATTCCCCTCTCTTTTATTGGCCGCCCCTGGTGCTTCTTTTCGTCACTTTCAGGTTCCCTCCACACAGGTCGGACGTCCCCGCCGCCAGGCAGCGTCCCTGAGGAGCAGCAGCAGATCGCCCGCCAGGGCTCCTACACCAGCATCCACAGTGAAGGGGAGTTCATCCCAGAAAACCCAGACCAAAGTGTAAGAGTCCATCAGCAGAATAAATGCGTTATGCATTGTTGCTTCTTGAAAAAGTTTGAATAGACTTTTAGAAAAAAGATCTTTTTGATGTCTTTGGCAGGTTGACATTTATTCAACCAAATGTAGTTAATTTATTGCAGTTAATGCACTGAAATGGCCAATATTGGCTGTTTTCATAGATTTTTTCCCCATAAGTTAACATAGTTCTGAAATATTTTGAGTCCTTGACTGGAAGGCTGAACTCTTGGGCAGAACTGTGTTTTTGTCGAGATTTAATCGTTGGTGATTCATTGTTTACTCTGCTCGTATACTGGATTGCCCTGTATTGTTAGCAGCAGCAGCAGTACTAGCACTAGTTTGATTTTACATGGCTATATAGCCACATATAACATTTCTGTGCAGTATTTAAAGAGGATGTCAGACATTATTCAAACCCCTTCAAATTCTTAAGACGTGAGACCGTAACAAGCACAACTCCACCCGCACTGCTTGGTATGCTCTTTCCTGTATGATTGCATGCTCCGTGACCCTCGGTCTCCTTGTGTTATTGTATCTGTCAGATGTTGGATCCCTTTGGGAGTGCAGACAACTCGCTGTCGAGCAGCTGTCAATCAATAGATCAAGCACTGGACAGGTGAGTCATCATGGAGCGGGTGATTTATAGCCCTCGTCGTTGTGGATTTATACAGTGGCTACTCAAGAACGTGCACTGTTTTCAGCCGATATAGCAGATAGCAGGCTTGAATTCTTTCTTCTTCTTTAATTTTTTTTTCCTTTAGTTTGTTTTTTTTTTTTAAACCAGTGTGCTCAAAGTTTACTGCAACCTTTTTTTCTCATGTGGTTTGTCATCCATGTGCATTACTAGAGGCACACATTTAAGAAAATGCATGACTGTAGTCATGCACATTGGGGAGTGTGTGGTAAAGGTTATTTTCTGTAGCAGCACTAAACATATTGTTACGATAAACACCTCATTTGTGGGTTATGTGTTGATGTCAGAGGCTAAAAAGTGTTCCCCAGATGTCTGCAGAAAGTCTGTAGATTCTATAAGTTCCTGCTGTTCCCTAAACGTCTTAAGTTCAGGCTATCGGTAGGAGCTGCAATTTATCGATGTTGCCTAAATGGCTCACATGCTGGTGATTGGTGTGATCAGCTGTTAAGTAGATGGGACGAGGTTGTCAGCCACACATAAACTGACAGATATGGATTCCTTCATTAATCTGTAATATATATGTACACGTCCTTGTGAGACATGGTTTGTATCACAGAGTGCTTGTGTACACACTTGGATGTGAGCGCCTGTGTTGCAACAGCCAGAGGCTTTTAGCAAAGTTTGTAAATGTGCTAAAGACCAGCGTAGCTTCCCTGCGACCCTTCCTCCGCTTGTCTGTGTCGAAAAGGAATCGGGTCACTTTGCTGTTGCCATAGCGACAGAACTCTTATCTGGACGCCTGGATTCCTCTGTTATCACGAGAGAGAGTGCGTGAGAGACAGACAGAAACAGAGACTGAGTGGGAGATGTGAGAGAGTGAGCAAGCAACATGCTGGAAAAACTGAGCCAGAAAATGAAAAGTGGCGAAAGAGTGAGAGTAAAGTGGGAAAGGCTGAGTGGAGAAAAGAGTGAATTTGAATCAAAGGGAGAATAAAAGCGGGCAAGCGTGGAGCTGACAGAGAGAGAGCAGGACGGAAACAGTTCTACCTGCACGAGGCTTATCAGGGCTCCAGGCTGCAGAACAATGGCAGGAAACGAGTGCATGGAACTTTTCCCTGCGAACGGGCATGCGTGCCCCTTATCCAGGGGTCTCGTGGCCCCGCGCCGCCCTGCGGTCAACAGAGACGTCACTCTCTGTCGGTTCGTCGGGACGTGGCTTATTGGAAATGTCCAGGGAGGGCGAGAGGTTGGATGCACATACAGACATTTAGGGACATATGTTATATCGCTGCTAGTTCAGTGGCGAGCAGTTTGACTTTGTGAGTCCACAAATCTTCCTAGAGCTCAACTTTTCAAATTTTGCCACTTTGTTGTTTTACATCAGCTGTGAGTGACAGGAAGGTAGTTTGAATACTAAAGCCATTCACCGCGTTTTGTGCCGCTTTGCAGTCAAGCCCCATTCTTACGTTTCAGGCCAGCAGCTGTAGCCACACTTTGTTTGAAGATAAGGGGAAATCAGCAACTAAAAGAGCAAATTGTTTTTTCAACTTTCCCTTCATGCTTCCTGTCATTTCAGCCCTCCTTACTCACAGAACACCCGTGACAATAACTACCTGAACCTCAACTTCGAATACAAAGGTAAGAGGGGACAAATCTTGCAGCAGTTTCTCTCCAATTCTAAAAATGTCTTTTTCTCAGCCCCCAGCTGCCAAACAAAGAGAGGTGTAAAAAGCGTGTTCGTTATTTGGAGGCTTTGTCTGTTCTTACTTTTTGCTGTGGTTCTTATAGCTCCACATTCAGTTTTACAGGAGAGGCTCTTGCTTTTCTAGAGTGTTTCCCCTTGAAGAGAATGCTAATGAAAGTGGAGATTATATTATTTTAGGGCTGTATCTGTAAAATGAACAATGGGTTGTGGTGAATCTCGGCTGTGTTTCTTAAGTTTGATGAGGTGGTGAAGTAAGATAGTACTGCGTCTCTTCCTTTGCTATCTGCCATACACTCCCCCTGTACAGACCCCTCTATTCACTGCCTTTTTCTGTTTTACCTCATCCCATCTTAATAGATGTTGCTGCCCTGCCGCAGCATGATCACTTCCCCTCTCTTCTCAGTGGCCCCCTGCTCATCTCGTCTCTGTCCCTGGGGTCTTGGTCTGTCCTCTTTTCCTTCAGAAGGCAGATCAAATGAAGCAGGATGAGAGATAAAGCCAAACTAGACCTCGTGAACAGAGAAGCTGCATTGGCTCTCTCAATCTGGCCATTTCTCTTTCCCCTTTCAGCTCCCCCCATGCTGTAAATGAAAAAAGGGAGTTCTGCACATTGTCTGTGCCGATGAGGGAACGTCATCCTGTAGCTGCAGCAGAACTTGAAGACCCACTTGGGTACACAGGCACGTGCTTGCACACGCACGCACCACCCTCCCAGATGTAAAGCTGTGTGGCCCTTCTGCTGAGGCCTACAGTATTTGTTTACCATTCCCTGTGAGTAGATTTTTCCTCTCCATCCCACTCTGCCAAACACAAAAAATAACTCCGGTATCCATGGGATACAGCCACAAAAACAGCATGAGGGGAGGCAGTCATCTGACAGAACAGCTGCTTTCAATTCCAAGTGGCTCCGCTCCTCTCCGTTTATTGTGTGTTTGCTGTGTGAGGGGGGAGAGTGTCAGTGCTCTCATGCGTCAGCCCCCCCACACCCCGCCTTTAGTTACCGCTCCACTGTTCAGAGCTAATGCTAAGCTAGCACACGCAAGCTGCTTTCAGTTTCCGCATTGGCTGCAGGGAGGCGGCCCCGTTCAGCGTGCAAAGAGCCGCGTTCCATTCTGCTGCTTCACAGCTTGATTTGACACATCAGGGATGAGCAAAAAAGGGAATGCGGTGTCTGAGTGCCCGTCCAAGCATTTAAACCGCCATTATTAGACTTAAAAAGTGGATAAGCACACAACTGTGAATCCAGAAACATTGTTTCTGTCATTGGGGTGTAATGC